AAGAATTCTAGCAAGAAGATAAATCAATGTATGCACATGCATTAACACTGGGATGTATTGGTTCAAAACAAAGTGATTGTTAATTGGATTTGAAAATTATTTGACAACAGCAAAATCATCCGATTGGTGCATATTAATTAGTCTATTGCTCAGCTGGTCTTACGGGCTGCTTGAGTGTTAATGCAATTAGCTCTAAAGGTCTTTTTATTAAATTTCTCTGCCTCTATACACCTTTCACTTTTTTCCTCTCCTGCACCAGCCCCAGCTAAAATCCTCTCATTTGGCGGTACCGTGACCACTCCCTGGATGAAAGAGGTGCGACTGCCCTGTAGCTCAGTAGGAGAACCTACACCTACCATAAAATGGACCAAAGACAGGTGAGAATCCACACTAGAAATATTGAAGCAGAGTGTTCTTGCTGCTGTAATTCCTCTGAGAATTGATTACAGACAATTAAGTGCACATGCTAAGGTAATGTGCAGACAGTGTACCTCACTTCTTGCCAATTTCATTTGGGATAGCCTCCAGCTTCATTGCAGTCCTGGTTGGATGAGCCATTAAAAATTATTATGAAAACCTTCAGACTAGAAACTATGCAAAACACCAAGTCAGATCCTAACTTACATCTTAACGCAAGTGATCCACCTTAACCAGGAGTGGGCAATTAATTTTCTCCAGGGGCCACGAGAGAAGCTGGGACTGTTGTGGAGGGCCCACCAGTATGGTTATAATGAGATAAAGTTAATATTGAACAGAACTAAGTTTGTCTTATTGCTGCAGCTTTCTACAAAAGTCCCAGTTTCTCTTGTATCCCCTTGGAGTCCATCCTCATGAGTAAAACTAAGACAAAAGAACATATAACGATATAGCAAAAATTTATAAATCATTAACATTGTTAATCAGAGAAATAGATTAGAATTAATTCAATTTTATTAATCTTTTATTATATTAAATAATTTTTATGACCATAGGTGTTTCAAAGTGGCTGCTGATACTTAATTAACCCTAATAATAGACTGAAGGTCCTCTTATCAGTGTCTCTTTCTCTTCAATAGTGAGGACACAGCCATACCAGTTTCTCTAGATGGGCAGCGTCTCATTTTGGCTAATGGGACTCTGGTGCTGCGCTCTGTCAAAGCTGAGGATTCTGGTTACTACACCTGCACAGCCACAAACACACTTGGCTTTGACACTATTATAGTCAACCTTTTGGTGCAAGGTAAGCGAATGGCTATAATGACACACTAGCAAACTTTTTTTTACGTAATAAACATTAAGATTTGCCAAAATGAATACATAACTCATCAAAAGTATGTCTTTGATAATATAAGTCATGGTATTATAAGATTCTGTGCCTCGTCCTCAGTACCTCCAGACCAGCCACGTCTAACCGTCTCTACCACCTCCACCTCCTCCATCACTCTGGCTTGGATACCAGGAGACAATGGCGGCAGCTCTATAAGAGGTGCGTAATTTTTCGGAGGAAAGCCGTATATCTGTCTCTCCTCTTGTGTACTCACATTACTTTCCTCTTGTCTATAGCTGACATGTTTGTCGTGCCTCAGCTTGTCTCCTACCTGGCATTATTGGTAGTGTCTCTATTGACCTATTAGTTTATTGAATGGTGTCTTGGTTTTATGTTTCCCTGTTAATTGTGTGTCTGTTTGATTAGCTGATTATTGATGAGCTGTATGTGAAGATGGCCACAGTGTGCGTGACTGGGTCTCTCCCTTTGGTCAGGCTGTGGCAGTTTAACTTATTACTGCTCTATATGACACACTCAAGCACCATATATGGTTTTGGTAAAGCCGCTATTCTACCTTATGTGATTACAGAATAAATGACAATGAAAACAAACAAATAAAACCAGAGAAATTTCAGTAGATGACATTTAGTAATAGCTTCTTGCAATCAGCACATGAAGGCCTCCAAAACTGAATAGAATATACTCCTTTTGGAAACCGTGCTGCCAGGATGACCCAAGAAAGACTTGCGTGCATGCATTATGCAAAACTGAAACAGGATATAATGCATAAACTTAAACAGCCTCTACTGGATGTGCAGCTTAGTATTCAAATAGGGATGTGCCAGTATTTGCATACAGCATCTAGTCTTATGTGTCCATAAATCTTTTCTGTAGAACTTGTGTGATAGCGGAAAGTCCCGTCGCTAAATCCACCGGCTCATTGTCAGCAATAGTTCCTTGTCACGCACCTGTTTTGCAGTATCACTGCCCTGATGTCTGTATATGATTCCCTTTCAGAAAAAACATGCTAGTGTGCACTAATAAAGCCATTTTCAGCTGGTAATGAGGACTTTTTTCCAGTTTGTGTAAAAATAAAATCATTTCTAAATAGACAAATCGCCAAATGTTGCAGACTGGTCCCATACACTGAGAATCTTATATTATGTACAACAGCAGTCAGTCATAGTGTTCTTCCAGCCTGTTGTTGTGCTGTTCTGTACTGTTCACTGTGCTATCTTCTGTTATGTTCTGCTGTGTCCTCTTCTGTTCTGTGACAGACCGAGGGTGACTATAAAACTTACAGACACTGCTCGATCTGCATGTTAACCCTTTTTAACGTTTTGGACTCCATTGCACCATCTGTTAGAAAAAGAGAGAGAGTAAGGAAATGAAGATGGTACAAAGAGTACAAGGAAACACTCAGAGTGAGACAGTCATATATGCGTAATCATATACAGGCAGAAGGAAAGACAGAGGATTAGATGGAAGGTGTCTCAGAGTGGGAGGGAGTTGGCTCTTCAAGGCAGCTGATTATAAAAACAGTCACCATATTGCATGCCCTCATTTGCATAGATGCTCAGTCAGCGCCATCCCAGTCTTGGGGTTTGTAGGTAACTAATGGCGGCATAGACAGAGAGCAGCTACACCATCCTCCAATTGAGGCTTAACTGGACAAGGGAAGTGCAATCATACATTGCCATCTAGTGGCCAGCAGTGGTACCAATGTCTGAAAGTTCAGTAGACTTTATATTAGTGAGGGATTTGCATCAAACTGAGAAAAAACTAATTATTATTTTGTGCATGTCTCATTTCTTATGCAGGTTTTGTTCTGCAGTACTCTGTAGACAACACAGAGGAATGGAAAGATGTTTTCATCAGTTCTAGCGAGCGCTCTTTCAAATTGGACAACCTGCGCTGTGGGACCTGGTACAAAGTCAAGCTGGCTGCCAAGAACAGCGTTGGTGCCGGACGTATCAGTGAGATCATTGAGGCAAAGACTCACGGGCGAGGTGAGAAGCTGGCAGAAAAGGACTTTAAACAATATATACAGCAGACAAGTAAAAAAAAAAATTTTTACACAATGGAATTATTTTTGAAAAGGGGTTCTAGATAACACTCAGAAAATACAGCAGGTCACATGTGAGGAGGTCAACAAAAAACGTCAACTGAAAGTGTTTAATGCACCTTTAAATGTATCTTTTCCGCAATCTCAAAATTTGAACTGACTTTTGAAAAATGTGAATGAATAGATGATATACGAATAGATCATGTGTTTTATTACAGGAGGGTTATTTTCTTTCATCTATGCTTCAGTCTATTCAAATGATATCAAATTAGTTTCAATATTAAATATCAGAATTAAAACATTTGATACATTTAATGCTTTTTCATTTACAAATGGCTCCAAAGCAAGGTTACGTGTCATTAGCAAGGCTTTAAATTAATGTACACTCCTCTCAAAATGCAGTGGGAAAGGTTTGTTTTATGGTCAGTGATATGACTGACCAGCGGGATGTTTATGCTGTCATTAAACTTCTTATAGTGCAGTCCAGTTTCAAATTTGATAGTCATTACAAAATGCATATTTAACCTCTCAGAGATTATGCAAACATATTACATACAATACTAAACTTTGCTGCTTCAGTTTTTGCTGTAACTGCATCAATATATTATTTAGTTTATTTAACTGAATGTTGTGTGCAGGTCTGCTGCTGATGACCTGTGTTAACCATATTACCTGTGAAATGCCATTCCAAATATTGTTTTAATATTCTGAGCATATTCTGCATCAAACCGTTGCTGCCTTTACAGAACCCCAGTTCAACAAAGACCAGCCTGTCTTCACCCACATTAACTCCAGCCATGCTCGCCTCAACTTGCAAGGCTGGGCCAGTGGAGGCTGTCCGATCACAGCTGTCACGCTAGAATTTAGACCGAAAGGTGAGTGGTTCCTTTATCATTTTTCAGTTTTTGGTAATATTGGAGATGTCCTGATATAAATTCAATGGAAAAGTGACCAAACTTAGACACATATATTATTTTTTCTTGAAAAAACGTGATCGTAATTAAGAGTCGTGTGCACTCGTGCAGGCACTTGGACATGGCAGAACGTGCGCACCAACGCCACCACAGATGTGTTCCTGGCAGAGCTGCGTGAGGCCACCTGGTATGAGTTAAAGATGAAAGCTTGTAACAGTGCTGGCTGTGGTAACCAGAGCTCCCAGTTTGCCACTCTAGACTATGATGGCAGTGAGTACAAGATGATCTTCATTTGCCATTTACTTTGGATAAATGGCATTGTTTTAATGAGAAATCCATTAAAATGGGTACCTTATGATATTGTCTTATGAAAGCACATTAAACTGATCTCTACAGGCACAATACCGCCAATTAAATCCCCTCTGGAGAAGAACGACGATGTCAAGAAGCTGTTTTCTATTGGCTGTCCTGTGATCTTGGTCACACTTGGTGTTGCGTTGCTCTTCATCATTCGCAAGAAACGCAAAGAAAAGAGACTAAAGAGACTGAGAGGTGAGAGAAGAAATAAGAAGAGAGGAGATAAGTGGTGAAAATGAGAGAGAATATTACATTCAGCCTGCAGAGCATTTATTCTAAGAATACTTGTTTGTCAAAAAAAAAAGAAAAATTAATTATATCCTCTGTTCTCGTTAGATGCCAAAAGCTTAGCAGAGATGCTGATCAGGTAAGACTGGAATGTATTCTCAGCAAATTAAGCTTGAAATATTATTAAGCGTAACCTAAAATCCACTCAAAAATCAACTTTCTTTCCCATTTTCTTCAAACTATGCATGTTTGTGTGTGCTCGTCTTGTATCTATGAATTAGTAAAAACAACCGCAGTTTCGACACCCCGGTTAAAGGGCCTCCTCAGGGCCCACGGCTGCACATCGACATCCCCAGAGTGCAGCTGCTAATTGAGGACAAAGAAGGCATCAAGCAAATCGGTGAGAGGAAGAGAGAGAAAGAGAGACTTGTCGCATATGTTCACACAACTATGCCGAGGACCGAATCGATGACCGTTACATGAAATGCGGTGTTAGGCTAATTGTTATTTTGTTGACACACAATATTTCTGCCTGTCATAGGTGAGGACAAGGCCACTATCCCTGTGACAGACACAGAGTTTAACCAAACTGGGAACCCTCAGAGCTTTTGCACTGGTGTGTCTGTCCATCATCCTGCCCTCATCCAGAACACTGGCCCTTTGATTGACATGTCTGACATCCGGCCAGGAACCAGTATGTGCTTTTACTCCTCACTCTCCATTATATCATTAAATGTTTAACCTTGAATATGTTCATTAAATGCAACATTTCTGCTCAGTTCAATTGAGTTATTAGTATTATTTTTTCATGAATGATTCAAATGTTCTCTGGACCAAAATATGAAGACCAATCTTTCTTATTTTTAAATTCTTGTTGATTTATTCCGGCTGTGAACATCCAACCCTTCTTATTTCTTCATCCATTTACCATCAGATCCAGTGTCAAGGAAGAGTGTTAAGTCAGCCCACAGCATCAGGAACCGCTACTCTAGTCAGTGGACTCTGACCAAGTGCCAGGCCTCTACGCCAGCCCGTACTCTCACCTCAGACTGGCGCACAGTTGGCTCCCAGCATGGCATCACTGTCACAGAGAGTGACAGCTACAGTGCCAGCCTCTCGCAGGACACAGGTTAGTACATGGGTGAAATGACACTTACAGCCATTAGCATGTACATACAATTAAGGCTATTTATCTGCAGGAAGCAAATGTGATTTTGCAGTAGGCTACATCTCAGCAGCGTTTATAAACCTGGATGAAAGGGGCTTGCCTTCATTTCCTTTCCTTATTTTTTTGAACAGATAAAGGGCGCAACAGCATGGTGTCAACAGAGAGTGCCTCCTCCACCTACGAGGAGCTGGCAAGAGCATATGAGCATGCCAAGCTGGAGGAACACCTGCAACATGCTAAATTTGAGATTACAGAGTGCTTTATTTCTGACAGCTCATCTGATCAGATGACTACAGGTACCAACGACAATGCAGACAGCATGACGTCCATGAGCACACCGTCAGAGCCCGGCATCTGCCGTTTTACTGCCTCGCCACCTAAACCCCAAGACTATGACCGTGGCAAGAATGTAGCTGTTCCCATTCCGCATCGCGCCAAGAGTGAGTTGTCACCTCTAAGCATGATTCTTTTTTGTCTGTTAGGATTTTTAATATGAAAACAAATTTAAAAAGTATGGCCAAAGGCTTAAAATTGTATTGTGAAAATCAGACTTCATGTAAGTAAATGTTTTCTGTAAATAACTCAAACATTGTAGACTGTAGATAGTATGCATGTATTCTGATTATTAGATGAGTTTATAGCAATTATTGTGGTGCACAGTATACTATCCATTATATCCTATAAGCTTGTGCAGTGATGATAAATTTTACTTTTCCCTTCCAGGTGACTACTGCAACCTACCCCTCTACATGAAGTCAGACCCCTTTTTTCGAAAGCAGGCAGAGCGTCATGACCCGTGTCCAGTGGTCCCACCACGTGAAGCCTCTATTCGTGGCCTGGCCCAACGTGCATACCACACCCAGGGCCGTCATGTGACTATGGACTCTGCAAAACAGCAGGCCCTAACCATGGGCCACTCTGGTCTGTCCAATCTCACATCCTCTGGGGCTTCCTCGGGAGGGGCAACAGGAGGCGGTGGTTGTGGCAGTGGAGGGGCATCTGCTAGCTCTAGCAGCTCCACACTTCCCCAGAGAACTCTCACAATGCCTGGCTCCTCTGCTGCAGGAGCCCAGAGTGCAGCGGCAGCTGCTGCTTCTGCTGCGGCTTCTGGGGCATCATCATCCTCCGGTGGAGGTGGGGCAGTAGGGGCCACAGGAGGGACCCCTGGAGGTGCATCTTCATCTTCCTCCAAGATGGGAGGATCCAGAGACTCTCTCCTGGAGAGCAGCTCCTCGGGCTTAGGCAGACTACAGAAGCAAAGGGATGGAGGGGCGGGGGCCTACTCCAAGTCCTACACACTGGTGTAGCCTGTCATCACTGCGGCCTGTCACTGTAACTCTTCATTGAATGCTGGTCAAGCCATCGCTTGCCTAGAGCCTCTATGAAAAATTGGGGTGAGAAACATACAGATGCACAGCTTACCTGTCAGTGCCTGTGCTGTGCCAGGCTGCAGGGGGCTGGTTGGGTTCCCACTGACAATATTATATGATGGGGTCAGAGTTGGGTCTCCACAGCACAGGGGTTTGCCTTTCTTTCTGCCTGATTGCTTTCTGTTATTATTGTGTCATTTTTATCTCTTACTTCATCACCCTGGGAAACACCTTTGCCAAAACATAGATGATTTATTCACATTTGTTAACTCTATATTTTGATTTTCTGGCAAAGACACAGTACTTATGCACAAAATGCTTTCCACGTGCACTGTCTTGTTTTCTGGATCAAGACAGCTGTAGAATGAACCAGGTTGCTTGAGTTTCAGAGAGATGTGTATTAAGATTTTTAGGTTTTTAAAAATGTTGCTTTTTTGGCCTCTGATGGAAAGGAGCTCATATCACAGCATTGTGCCATGGCAGGATGCTTTATTGTATGCATTAACCACCAACCTTGGTGTTACACTGGCTCTGAAAGATTACTCCATCGTGGATTCGTACATTAGAGGCAATGGATGGACCGTCGTCTCAATATCAGATTTGAGACAAAGGGATTTTCATATACATGCAATGGATGATACAGCATAGTGGTCTTAATTGATGCTTTTCTAAACAGACTCAAAGCAGAGAAGATGGGAAAAAAATTCAAGCATCATGAAGTGCAAGATGAATCCAACCTTTTTCTTTTAAATCAGTTTTCTGTTTATTTTCAGATGATGGAAATATAATCTCATGTGCACTAAGAGAAAATTAGAATGGATCCAAGTAACAGAAACCTTCAACAGCCTGCGTGCGTGTGTGTGTGTGCGCGCGTGCAAGCGTGTTTGCGCGGGTGTATATGTGTGTATATAAATGTATGCATGTGGCAGGCACACCAACGATGGACCTTTTTAAAATCAGTCTGTATGCTGACCTCTTGGGCAGACATCTGTGTCAAAACTGACAAATGTTCATTTTGTACCTGTGAAAGGGGATAATGGGTCGATGCTGATGATGTAACGCAACGACCCTAATTTGGTCCAGCATTTTGAACTTTGTTTTGGATTGACGACATGGCTTAGGAAATGAAAAACACAGGAAAAGAAGTGGGTTCAGAAGAGAGCTATTACAGATTATAAGAACTAGGTCCCTCTTTTTCTCTTAAACTTCCTCAAGAAGGAAGCGACCATTATATGATTCATCATGGCGCCACAATATCCATTATGTTTTTTGTTTTAAGCCATTTTACCTGTGCCCTTTTCCTCCCTTTCTGTCCTTTCCCACTTTCACCTTTACCCACCCGGTCCATCATCATATCCATACAGTGTCACTGTGATCTACTGCTAGCTTACTGGCAGGTCAAAGAGACAAACTGACTGAGAGAAGAGGTCTAATATGCACAGACGGGCAGAAATGCTATTTGATGTGTAGTGTCAGCTTGAATGAGAAGCAAGTCGCAGCAGATTTATGGAGATTTATGAAGAAAAATCATATTTGCATAATCTTGAATTTATAAACAGACAGTAATGTTTAAGAGTATAATCAGAGGGATCGAGCGTCAATATAATGTGAAGTAGCAGAGAGATTTTTCCTCAAAAATAAGTGGTCTTTGAAACTAAAAGGAGTATTTTCAAGTCCCTCCACCTTGCTGAAATTATTTTTAGCTTTATGCATGGTACTGTATCTTTTTTTTATTATTACTATTAGTTCTTCTCCCAAAGCTTAATCCCATAACAAAGATCGTTCCAAAAAAAAAGAAGAGTTGCTCCACATGTTTTTCAGTGGTCGAACATAACATCAGGGCTCTCGCAATAGAAAAAAGAAAAAGATATATGTTTGTTTTCAAAAGTATGTACATATATATTTCTATTCAAATATATAGCAAATATATGAATATTGAAAAAAATGCAGAGAAATATAAAAGCCGTTCTAATTGAAAATATATATAAAAGATCACAAGACAATCGCTCAGAGTGAAAAAAATTGCCAGAAGAGAAGAAGGAAAAAGAAGAGGGAAGTTTAAACGGGTAGCACAACCATGGGCAGAAGATCTTAGAGCGAAAGGAAGTTGTGTGAAAGAAAATTAAGTGGTGAAACTGAGGTTTGAACCCCTTGTGATTTTGTAAATGTTCAAAGCTGTACCGCCTGTGCAGCAGGTAGCAGCTGAAAGGACAAGCACAGTAAAGTCAAATTATAGTGTGAGATTGTGTCGCTGGTTAACTGTGGTTTATGGCTCAGTGCAGAAAGTGTGGTGTTGAAAAAGAAAACAGTATAACGAGGACAGTCTATACAGTGAGAATCTTGTATTATGTTGTATTGTACCTTCTGAAGGTGTGTTCACAAACTCAATGCCATTACCTATAATTATAATTAATGACAACAAACAACCAACCAGTATTTCTGTTTCCTATCTGTGTCACAGCAAGTCATTCCCAAACTCCAGGAGTGCAGTCCAATGAGCATACCACACAGTGGTGTTTAAAAACTGCTTCTAAATGTATCCATGCTCCCTTTCGTTTGAAAACTAGCCGGGAGAGATATGTATTTTTGCTTTTTGTTGCTAATGGTTACGATGCCTTTTCTTTTAGCTTTTACATTTCAAGTTATGCAAATACTTGTCTTCAGAAAAACAAGAGTTTGGGAATGGGGCAGGCCTGCTTTCACAACCAGGGGCTTCCTTACTCCAGTTGTATGGATATTGGTTGGAATGATGAAATAAAGTTCTGTCCAACCTGCTTTCCCCAGTTCTTCAGTGAAGTTGCTTCTACCGTATAACACCGATCCTCTGTCAGTTTGCTTAAAGTAAATGTAATGTCTGTCTTTAAAGAAAATTCCACCCTCCAAACATTTCCAGAATTCTAGTAGGCCATAAATGTCCATGTAACATTTTGCCATTACATATAATATGCGTTTTAACATTTAGCTTATTTTGATACTTTATAGCAGATGTTTTATTTTATTTTTTTGTCCACCCAAACATATGAACACTGAATTGCTTTCAATGCATTTTACAAAGCATACTCACATAGTAAGGAAAATGCTAATCATACTCAAATTTCCATTTTAATATTAATGATAATACATCAGTTTTAGAAGTTTATGTACCAAATAGCGAGTATAGAAAAGATAAAATCACTAACATTTATTAAGGGAAAAAAACAATCCACTGGATAAAGTGGTCCTCATATTTTATTCTTATTTCTCTTATTATATTTGGACAGCTTTTCAGCTTACGAAACATCTGGGGTGGATTTTTTCCTTAAAATACAACAACATACTTTCAAACTGACTTTGCCTGTGTTTGTAAGGCCAACTTCACACGTTCCACTTCCCCAACGTTTTCCCCATCTGCCAATCAATCAGAACCCCGTCTCCACCCCCACCGTTCCCCGTTGTCCACTTATACAGCTTATGTTTTACTCCATAATAGAAGACTTGTGTACATAGGAAAGTGTTTTGTATAAATGAGTACTATTTTCGACATCTTCACTAGAAACCAGGGCACAATGTAAACTTTGAACTGAAGCTATTGTAATGAAACAGAAGAGGACTTAACGGCAAGACTATAAAATTATACAGACACCGCTTTATCTTGATTTATGGACCAGTTAAAACGTGTCAGAGTGGACCATGCATAATTAAAAAAATATATTGTTTTCTTCTTTTACAGGGCATTTGGTTGAGTTGTCTCCTTTTTTTTTTTTTTTTGTTGATTTTTTAATATTATTGTAATTTAGTTTGTTTTTACTTTGTCACAAAATTTAGAGTTTGCTTTTTTAAAAATCATTAATAAATTATTAATCCACATTTGTGGGGAGGGGAGCAGCATTGCATGTACTGAAAATTTTGCTGGTTATAAAAGAAAAAGGAAAATGGTGAATTGACCAATTTAAAAGGGGATTACTGAAACCATTTTCAAAATTGAGAGGTTGTTCCTTAAACTTTTATGGGGAAACATTGCTTCAATTTGCAATTGCTTGCGTTTAACTCTACATTTTCTTTTCTATGAAAACAAAACAAAAATGGGAAAAAAAGAGTACTCAACACCTTGTGCAATAAAGCTATCTTTTTATAAACTGTGATGATATTGTTTATTGGCGACTTGCTGTTGAATGTTGAATCTTAACTTTTTCTTCTGTTTAATGAAAAATCATAAGAAGTGTGAATTTTTCAGCCATGGGGACATGTATTGTGGATAGAGGAGGTTAAAAGCCAAATTTAACCTTTGCAAAGCCCCAAGACGTGTGAAAAAGGTCAAATGTGAACCAAGCCTGGAGAAATCTGTGCTCTTTTGTCTCATCTCAAACTAGTAGTAGAAACTTTACTGTAAATTGTAAACTGTCTTTAACTCTCCAGAGAACCAAGGAGTTTAAAATGAGGTGAAAAGTACATTTTTTTTATTATAGACAAAATATAGCCTATAAAACTTGACATTTTTTTAAGACTGCCCAAATTGTTTAATCATCTTGCTTCACTTTTTTCAGCTAACTTTATTTAAAAAAAAATAAACACAGCAAGGTAATATGATTGGCTTTTATGTTGCTCTGAATAAGTAATTATTAATATTTGGAATATTTTGCACTTCCCCAGTAATTACTTTCATGATATCTAAGTGTACTTAAATGCTTATTTTCGTCAGCATCTCCATACAGCCACTTTAAACTATATGGAGTCATGCATGTTAGCTTTTACAGCTAGTACTGCACTTTGTGTAGTGCTTAAAAAATTTACAAGGTATACCTTATACCTTACCCAATGTAAGATTTATGCCACACAATTAAAATCTGATCATTAAAAATTATTTTTCTTTTAAATTATGTAATCATTAATCCTCCAGTACGCTCATGCTCTTTAATCAAAATGATATTTTTGATACTGAAATATAATTTTTGTTCTTATCTATGAATTGTCATATTTAATCTTAAATAAAAATATGATTAAAAATATAGTCAATTACATTATTATTTTTTTATTAAGATGCTTAATTTCTGACTCCTAAAGTGAGCAGGCTCAAATTTGGATATAAAAACATAAATTCTGTTTGTTTGCCTAATAAATAACAATATCATTTTTATATAAGTTTTTCAACAAGTTTTTGACAGATTTGAAAAATTTTAGTGTTTTCATGTTAATAATAAATGTAAGCACCATCCAACCAGAAGGATTTATTCAGAGTTGTCTCTCTGGGTTGTCTCTGTGGTAGAAAACTAACCTATAGGTTTCATACCTGGGAAACTGACCAGCCTAATATTCAGCATTGTCACTGATTCCTTCATGTTTTATTTATGTTATTGCACTTCCACATTTGTGGAGATATTTGATTTCTCAATGTCGATGATGCTGTATGTTGGTCGAATGCTGATTGGCCAGAGCAGAGAAGGGATTGACAAAACAAAACAAAAAAAACCACAAAGATAAACAATACAGTATGAAAAGCACAGACCGTAGATACTTTTCATTGTTTTTAACACTTGGTTTCACTTCAGCTTTTTGCATGTTATAACTTACAGCTCCTCTCCACAGCTTGCTGATGGACCGACAAGAGCACAAGCAAGAGTCGAAAGACGAGCTAAACCACATATTTTTGACATTGCCCCAATCTCACAACAGACTCTCTCTGCGGGTAGATGGGCAGTGCAATGCACTTCCGCCTTAAAGCCAAAATTTCTCGAGGAGACACACAGAAACCGCGTACAGTCACATCTCATGAGCAAAAAAGCAATCACACTAAGGTTAAGTTCACCTCAGGGCAGCCACGCTGACAGAAGCTCATCACATTAGTGTCTGCTTTCATTGACTTAAACTAGCTCTTTGACAACAACTTAGCCTTTTACTGGATGCAACAGCCTGTGGCACATTTTTCTACAAGTGCTATTTACACCCAAAGAAAGCTCCTGTTTTGCTCCTGTTTCTCATTGAAAGTGAACATGTTTTATGTTGTTTTTGAGAGTTGTTAGTGGTGTTGACAGGATTTTGACTGCACATCGACTCTTCACACCATCTTTTGATATAAATTGGTTGCATTAACATACGTTCCGGCTCTATTGTTGTGTCAGATCATACATCTTCAACACAATCAGAAGTGGACTGGCCAACTGGCAGCATCGCTGGCCTGAAGATCACTTTGACCTGAAGTGAACATTCAGTTTAATGAATTTAAACATTTTCACATTACTACATATAATAACTGTTGATAACTTTAATTGTGTTTTGCAAACTTTTACAATATTTTAAAACCTTTAAAAACATCAAATTAAATAAGCACCTTAAAATTCATACAACTTGTGAGGCAAAAATTCCTCTAAACACTAGAGGGCAGTGAAACAACATAATCTGATGATGAGTTTATTGAAATGGACTGGGGGTTTTTTTTTTCTTAAGAGACATCAGTGTTTTTCCACACATTTATATACAGGAAACAACAGTCATATATAAATTAGAGAATCACACTCACTCACGCACTCTTAAAATCACATCAATCATCACAGCACAGCAAATCTGTTCATTCAGAATTACAGAATATTCACATTTATTGTTCACATAGAAATTAAAATATGGTTTTATAAGCATTGTGTGAGATGTAGGCTGCTGTATGTTAATCTGGATTACTAATCTTGGGACCTCTACTAAGTTTAAATGTATGTATATTTGAATATAAGTGTTCATATGAATTTAATCATGACATCACAGCATTCATCTAGCCTTTGATGAAATCACATGAAATCACAGCTTGCTTGCTATTGTCTCTCAGACTTGCTGGAGTAGTAAGACTCTCCTGGTCCATCTACTTGCCGTTCTTGTGTTTCTTCTGCTGGAATTTCCTGAAATGGTTCTGGATGGTAGAGGCGGCCTTCTCAACTTCAACAGGGCTGAGCGGAGGAACAGCAGGCGCTGTGCATGTCCCGTTACTGGCATTGGAGTCTGAACACGACAGGACACAG